CACCTGAACAGGTGTAAATGGGATTTGCATCCCATTTCACACACTCCCAGCCCTGACACCTCCTACTGCACACACCTGAACCACCCACTCCCCTCCCCTTCACCATCCCGCCCTGTCTGACCCTGTGCATTGTGCCTAAAAACAGGCTGCCAGAAACATCGCGGTTAGCCGAAAATCGCTTGCTAATTGATAAAAACCCCTGATAAAACTTCAGTGCTTTACCCAAACCACCTGTTGTTTCTGGCAGTCCCACTGGGGCCCGAGAGGCCCAGGTGGAAGGCGCTGGGGCTCTCCCGCCCGGTGCCCACGGCGAGCCTGGGGCCGCGGTGCCAGCCCAGGGACCCCCTGCCCGCCCAGGGACCGCGTCCCTCGTCCCGGCTGAGCAGCGAGAACAAAACCATCCCCTTCTCGCACAGCCCGGCCGCTGGGGGGTCACCAGGCGCTACACCCCGTTTTGGGGGGTCTCTCAAGCCTTTCCAGCCGCTTCCCAGCGGCCGGGCTGAGGCGTCCCCTCACAGCGCGTCCCGCCGGGCGGGGCGGCCGCGCCGCGCCCGCGAGCTTCTCTCCGAACTTTCATTTTCTTCAAAAACAAACTCCCGCTCGCTTTCCCCCTCATTTCCACCTGCAAAGCCCCGGCAGCCCCCCACTCCGACTGCCCCGGCAGCGGGGCAGGTGCCCGAGAAGCGGCAGCAAAGCCACGGTACCTCCGCGCCCCGGGCCGGCGCTCCGGGCGCTGCCGCCGCCTCCTCCTCGCCGCCCGCGCCCCGCTCGCTCCGCGGCCCGGGAGCGGAGGGAGCCCGGCGGCAAAGGCAGCGGGACAGCGGCTCCTCCTCCGGCCCCGCGGCCAAGGGCGAGTCCCCGGCACGGCCCCTCGCTGCCCCGAGGGCAGGGCTGGCCCGCGGCAGGATGGAGCTCCTTCCCCCGAGCCGACCCACACGCCCGCCCGCCCCCGGGCAGCCCTCGGGCTCCGAGGGTTGAGCTGTGTGGGCAATCCCAGCGTGGGAGTGGCGGTGGCTGGGGAAGAGCGCTCCCGCAGTCCCGCAGGGCCCGGCCTTACCGCGGCGCTCTTTGAAAGTTGCTCCTTCCCCGGAGCGCGGCGAGCTCGGTGCTCGCTGGAAGAGCAGAGCGAGGTTGCCCCCTCGCTTCGGAAGGAGCCGGCCCTTCCCCAGGCTGACCCGTTCCTCTCCAGGAGCCTGACAAGCCAGGGATTGCTCCGTTTGCCCCACTCGTCGGATCAACTAAGGGAAAAAAACCCCAATATTTCCGCGTGCCTTTTGCTTTGCTGTTCGCAGCCATTCTGTAAATTAAACACAGAGGATGTTTTTAGCCTGCTCGGTACCCAGCGATGGGTCACTGCTGGTCACCCGGGGGTGGATGTGCGCGCACAGAACGGCTGCGGGAGCCTGGGGGTTCCTTTGGATGGCACAGATGGGTGTTACCGGTGCTTTTCCCTGTGTTCAGGCCACCATCACTCTGCGTCCAGTTGCAGGCATAGGTAGAGAGCTAGAACGTACCAACACTATTGTTTTCTGGCTTTTAACACAGTTAAAAAAGCGTTACCTGTTTTCAGCACCTTTCCACTTCTTAGCCAGCCTGCTCCCTTTTATGCCTCACAGCCCAGCTCTTATCCAGACCTTTCTTACCTCATTTTTAGCACAATGTTTGAAAACACCCTAAATTAACTTTTTCCTTTATTATGATAGAGCCTCTAATTTCCTCTGGCAATAATTTACCCACATATTCAAGCTAATTTCCCGCTTTTTCCCCTCCCCAAATCTCATCCCACTCTTCCTTTTGTCTCCATTGATTGTGTCACTCACAGTAATGCCTCTGTATCTTCAGCCTTTCCTTCTCTGGAGTCTGAAAGCTTCTGAGTGATGCTGTCAGTGAGTGGAAAATTCAAGGAGTTTGGCTTGGCCTGTGTAGGGAGCCCATAGGAATTTCTCACACATCAGATGGGAAGAGAGTTAAAAGACAATGGAATGTTCTTGCTCTGTATCTACATTGCAGATGAGAGAAATAAAACTGGGCTGGGAACACATTCAGCAGAGCCACACTGGTGCTGGATGTGTCTCAAGGGGTTTAGGGAGCAGCCAGAGCAAGGCAGGAAGCCCCATCTGGCTGCAGGAGCCAGAATGTCTTGAAACACTTCATTTTGAGGCTCACCTCAGAAGGAAAAGAGGATCCATCCAACTTTGTGCTTGCCCCTGCCAGCTGCAGCTCTGCTCTCCTCCCTCTGCTTATGGTAAATGGCACAACTCAAGCTTTTATGTGCAGAATTCTGACTACACTTAGCACTGCACTGTTAAAATTGGCTGATTCTTCCCAAATTGCAAAACTTAATCCAAGCGCAGATTCCCTCAGTCTCCCAGTGAGATACTAATCCTCAGATACACCTGTTTCACAAAGTTAAACATTTATTAGGAACAAGAACTATTACAAAAATGATATCCATAGTCTAAATATATACATGAGGTTTAAACATAACATTTTCATGTACCTTTAGCTATAAAAATACATTAGATTAACTGTATCCTAATTTATAAATATAGTTCTTTTCTTTAAAAAAACAACTAGTATTCATATGAAAGCCTTACTGTGCAATGGAGGAATATATATACCCTCTAAGGGGCTATTTTAAAGTTAGTGTCTAGTGTTACATAACTTACAAAATTCAGTGTGTAGAGTCAAACCCTGATTTATACAATAAGAGATACGCTGACTTTTTAAAAACTTGATGGGGGGGGAAAGAAAGTGAAATATATATCATACATATAAAGCCAGAAGAGAAGGATTTTCAGAATTTCAGATTATTTCAGTTTCCACCACTGTTTATCAAAAATACAGAGATACATCAAGATAAACAGCCTTTTACTGTTTGTCTCACCTCTCTGCAGCCCAAGGAAACCCTCAGGTGGGCAAGAGTAAAACGTTTGTCTGAGAAGATGTTTGCACTCTTAAGTGTATTACAAAAATAGAAATTTATTTACAATTATCCCATTTGGCCTTTCATGGGGAAGGGAGGACATTTTCATCACTGGATGGGGAGATTTTCCTGCTTCACACCCTGTAGGAGGACAGGCTCCTGGTTACACTGTTGGAGGTATGTCATGTCAGAAATAAAGTGATGTTGAAGTGCAATTTCAACATTCACCAACTAATAAGGAAGTTTAGGCTCATGCAAACTTTTTTCCTTACTTATCACCGCCCACCTTCCTTCCTCCTCCAAAAAAAGCTCCACTCATGCAACAGAATTTGTTGCTGTCTGAGCCTATCTGTGAGCAAAGGAAGGTACTGGCTAATCTTGGCTTGCAGCAGAGGGGAGGTTAGACCTGCATTTCTGCTTCAAGCTCTGACATCTGGAGCAGCAATCCTCATCAGTGCTCCCTGGAGATCTGCTGATAAGCCATAAGGAACCTCAGTGGGTTTGTTCTCAGAGGACAATCCCAGAGGGATCAGCTGAACTTCCTAACAAGCTGTCACCACTAACTTTTGCAGACCTGGGACTGGCTGTGCCTTTGCCAGGGTTCTCCAGCAGAGTCAGGAGGAGAGGAGGAGGGAAAGCAGTGAACCCAGGAACTGAAGACAGCCTGTGGCTTGTCGTTCATCTCATGATAATGAATCTCATAATAATGTCTGGGCATGCAAAGAAGTTACTGCAGGAGGTGCTAAGGCATGAGCTTGGTGTGACAGCTACTCCATGGACAGCTGTGAGCAAGGGACAATCCAAGGCAGTTTTCTCAGTGAAGGATCAGCTACTCTGTGCTGGCCATGAGATGACAGCACTCACAGGGACAGTGCCTGCGAAGCTGCTGACAAACTGAAGTCCAGCCACAGCTTATTCCATGGTAATTGGCTTGTACACCCTCCTCTTTAGCACTCAGGTGTGCTTGGGAGCACCTGCCTCTTCACACTACACTTCCAGGAATGTATTTTAAGCTACATTCATACAGGATAAAGAAGCAGTGTGAAGAGCTTCTGAGTTTTACTCTCATAGTAATAGTCCTGGCTCAAAAAACAAAGAGTTGTTCAAAAAGCCTGAAAGTTGCAGAGAAAGAGAGTGCAGGACAGAGCTTCCTGCAGCTCTTCTGCTCCCTCCCCCACATCAGGACTGGTATGGGACATTTTCTGTGGGGTATCTACCATACTACATGCTCAGCATCCAACTCGGTGTCACCATGGTAAGTGCAGTGCAAATTCCCCTTGAGAAAAGTGCTGTAGTGAAGGTTTGAGATACAACTGTGACTCACTGGGAGCCAGAAGGGTCAGCAAGTCAGGAACTTGCATTTGCAGCATGTGTAGTGTGTGCACACCCAAACATCAGGTTCCAAGGACACTTGAAATTCTGGCTCTGTTGGGTGACATAGTGGCCCCAAAGGAGTCCTCTAGGAAACCCACAAATCTCATTCAGGGCTAAAATATCACCGGGATGGAGAATGCACATATCTTTAGAGAGACCGTGATAGCTCTTTCAAAGAGAATTTCCTTACAGATCCTTCCATGAAAGCTTGCACTCCCGTTCCAAACTCCAGCTGCAATCTTCACACAAACTCCACCAGCTCCAGTCAAGTTGTTCTAACCCTTACCACTCGAGTCCATCTCTGCCAAGGGAAGCCCAAGTGCCTCTGAAGGTATCTGCCAGTACCTCTGGTGGTACCAGCAGTCTCTCTAACATGCCAGTGATGTCCCTGTCCTTCAGGGGTACAGTTGGGAAGCAGATGTCCTGCCAACACTGTGACTGACCAGCTTTTGAGTCACAGGGAGCAGGCAGATGTACAGCCAGGGACTTGTGGAGTACAAGTGTGTCCTGCCAGTAGAACCAGAGTCAGTGAATCAGTTTTTGAAGAGCCAGTTGGCAAAATGCAGCCCAGCAGATTCAGTGTTTCTAGAGGAATAAAGACAGGTGTTTCCATTTTCCTTCCCACCCCTCCCCTCCCCCTTGTCTGAACACGTCCCCCATGTGTCACATTCAGAGTGTCAGCATTTCAGGCCTCCTGTTCTCATGGACTCTTCTGGGAGAGTTTAATGGTGACTGTTTTCACTTCGGTGTATTCTGCCAAAGCATACTCCCCACTGCAAAAGAAAAGAGGAGGAAAGGGACAAACAGTTTTTGAATGTTAATGTCCCTGAGAGAAGAGAGTTGTACTCATGTGCATTTTTGACATCAGGTCATTAAAACCAGATCTGAACAATTTACACCAGCTATCCACTTGTCCCACCACCTCTAATAACCACCAAGTACATGCACATAAGTACATACAATTACACCCTGTTGTGAGAGAAACACAGAATGCTTTGGTCACTGTAACCCACAGGATGACACTTGTGACCCTGCCTATGCAAACTAAGTGCTGCTGTGAGAAGCCATACAAGAGACAGCCACATACACACAGCTATTGGTGCTTTGACAGCAATTAAAGTTATTTTTTCACCAAAAGAAAGCTTCTATCTACAAGATACCATGTCATCAGGAGGGCACAGATGCTCCAGAAATGCATATTGATGAGAGAGCCCACCACTGCATTATGTCTTGGTTGGTGACAACTGGCTCTGTTCCCATGACCTTCCCATGGGAAACCTCTGACATCCTTTAATTAGCCAGGCAGTCAGGCAAAGCAAACCATAAGGTCTCAATATATATCTGTGTCCCATCTGAGGATTCATTTATTTGCTGTGCTTAGCAAATGAGGCATGTGAATGTCTCAGAGCAGCAGATGTACCAGAACAGTTACTGGAAATGGTTTCTGGGATTAAATCTGGTTTGTGAAAGAAAAGGTGTGTTAGATTCCTTTGAGGAGTCTGCTGAATGGTTTAAGCAATCCTGTCTCCTATACAAGATGAAAATTAAGATTTAAGACAGTGTCTCAGCTCTGTGACTAACTCATGGAGTGACCTTGGTTTGAAAATGTCAGCTTTAGTAACTGTTAAGAGCTGAAGTGTCTGGTAGCCTCTCTGTAACACCAGGCTGGGAAAGAGGGACAGAGGGTTCTTGTGTAATTAGCAGCAACCTTGGAAGGTGGGATGGAGAATGATTTGGGAGATTATTCCTTCCCACCTGAACAAGGAGCAATGATACAGCAGCCGGGAGAGGCACGGATACCACCATGCAGGTTTGGGGTGGGTCCCCAGCCATGGTGCCATACTTCTCCTTTTATCTAAAAATCTAACTAGTATGGAAAAATGCTTCCAAGTGGACTTGACTGAACTGCAGATATTAAAAGCTTATAAAGCAGATGAAGGTGGTCCTAAAGGAATGCTTTACATCCACGCTCTACTGGCTTAGCACCTCCCTGTGGAGCATGCTGCAAGCCTGATTAAACTTTAAAAGCAAATTCAACAGTGTTTTCACAGTCACAAATGTTATTGCATTCACCACCCACACAGAAACAAAATACTGAGCAAAACTTACAGTTCTCTGCCATTGCCTGACATTTTAAAGCCACCAAAAGGAGCCTGAGCATAGAGAGCATTGTAACAGTTGATCCTACAATAAAAACATCAATTTTAAAAAGACAATTCAATACCAAGGAAAGGCAAGATGATGACAACAGCAACAATACAATAAAAGTCTGAAATCTCTCCATTTTCTCTGTCATACACTTGAGAAATCAGATTTTTGCAATAAAATCTTCTTTTGCTGCAGAAACAGAAAACATCTGAGTAGTTCTCAGTCTGACCTACATCTCACCTCATATCCTATAATGGCAAAGACATCCATGTTTGAGCTAGAATTTATACCGTGTTCAGAGTCATGATTAAAATAAATAGTTCAGGCTATTCCCTAATTTGTTAAGCACATTCTGTAATGAACATGTTTACTCAGAAAGCTGTCTAAACACTCACAATGAGGCCCCAGCATCCCCTTCCAGGTATAGAAAATATTTGGACTGTATCAGACAATTGTGTCACAGTAAAATAAAAGCCCTGGGCCTATTTCTATGGATACTTGGTAGAAAAAGCTGATGCAGACACTTCCCCAGCATCTTAGTATGATCAAATGACTGAAGGTCATACAGCACAGGTATGGCTTGTGCTGGAAGTGTGCACCTCCATGTTCAGCACATGTATCCTTCAAAGCTCAACATCCCATTTTTATGTAAGTATTTGAGGCTGATTTTTCTGGTGCCAACTCTTAAAATTAATCCTTTGCATCAGAATCAGATACCAGATCAACTTCCTGTCTTGAGTGGGAAAGAAATCAGGATTCCATCTTTAAAACCATTCTAATATAAAATAAGAAATTTTGTATGCAAAAATAGCTGCTTTTTCTTTGTGACAGTGGTGTGTTGCCATCTACTGTCCATACTGGTTTGTGCAGCAAAATCCCATCTGGTGCTAGCTAAAGATCATGAGAATTGCTTTTTGCTACATACAGGGTTTTGGAAGGCACAATGTCTGGTGGAACTTACTACAACCCCAACAAAGAAATACCTCGATTGAAGGAAAATCCAGTCCATTTCTCAACAGGCTGCCTGGGCCTCACCACTTCATTTTGAGGAATGGATGTTGCTTCTGAGCAGAACATGAAGAATTAGGCAGGCTACTAATACATCTTAGCTGCAGCATTTAGAGAATCACAGATATTCTGATTTGGGACGGACCCACAAGGATCATGAAGTTCAACTCTTGAATGAATGGCACGTATGCGGATGGAGCCCACAACCTTATCAGCAATTTTATTATCTTACCAACATGATTGCAAGTCCAAAATTCCTCTCTCCTCACAGGAAACAAAGCCCCAGCCCACCCTCTGTTCCCAGCCTGCTCACCAGACTGTTCCTGACTGCAGAGCTGAAGCCAGGGTTAAGGCTCTGTCCAGGTTCTTGGTGAACACCGCAGCCGTGAGTCCATACTCGGTGCTGTTGGCTCTTCTTATCACCTCTTCTATACTCTTGAACTTCATAATTGGCTGAACTGGCCCAAAAATCTGCAGATATCAATTAAACTTTAGTACAGGAAAGCGTCTGCTAATCATGGTCATTTTGAAGTAACCAGAATCAGATGCTATGTTTGGATAATATATTTAAAATGTTATATCTTAGCCTTCTAGGGGTCACTGATATGGTGTCTTAAAAACTAATTAAACTTCAAATGAAGCATTATGATGTGCTGAAGTCTTTAATAAATGTTAAGATCCAACAAGTAATGGATCATCTGTAACAATCAAAATAAGCAGAGTTAGATCTGGACAAGTTACAAATGATTCATCCTTACTCTATTTACAACTCTCCTTTTGAACTCTGAAGCTGAGTGTGCTCAAGTAACAATTAATTTATTTCAAGGACTGCAAGTTTTCTTCCTTGGTTTTAACCCTGATTTTGTCACTGTATGCATTTTATTTGCATGCAGTGCATTAACCACATCTATGTTTGACCACAAACTTCACTTCCCAGGCTGCCAGTAGAGGCAACAGCCATACAGAAGGCATCCCAAATTTTGGGATGGAGTCTCTCATCAGGTACAATATCAAAGGTGGAGCCCCTTCTTGGTCTGCAGGCTCTCACAGCACAATAAAGCCCATTGAATATGAGAAACAGATTAATTGGGGTCACTTTCAAGCTCATACAAGGGTTTATAAATGCCTTTGTTTTGGGATATCCAGGTTCTTATGTGGAGCCTTAATCCTAGGCAAAGGATGAACGTGCATTTGCAACAAAACTGCCAGTGAATGGAACTGGATAAGCTTTGTGAATCATGGCTTGGGATTTGGAGTCAGTTCATTAAGAAAAGGTTTGTCATGGGAATTTCAGCTCTTTTTCTCTCTATTTTTAGCATGTAACTCATGCCCTGACTGACTGATATCTTTCCCAGGTTCCTTAGAGATTCTGTGGCAGATCTGAGACATTTAAACATCTTGCCAGGAGTGAACAGCAAGCAGCCTCATAAAAAGCACTAGGCTAAACTTTAAACTACAAATGCCAGTTAGACTTTGGCAACTATTTATTTTCCATTAGGGAACATGATGAAAAGTAGATTAACTTCTCAAAGGAATATCACAGCATCTAATCATATGCAGCTTGTTCAACATTTCTGGATATGAATAATGAAAGCCAGAGTATTAGATCTGCACTTAGCTGGCTTTGACCATGTTTTCATATAGGAAAGAAATAGTCAGTCTCAGGAGATTTTGCCATGAGAATGGAATCTGGGATTGTTTCAGATGCTAAGGCTGTTTCAGAGCACTTCACTGGCTGTTCCTTTCCTCCTTACCAGCATCAGATCCCAGAGTTCTTTTCCCATCTTTCTGCAATAAAGCAACTTACAAAAGTAGTGGAGCAAGAACACACATTTCACTGGCAACTACAGGGTAAATAATTGCTCCAGCCTGCCACAGTGTCAGTTATTTTTACTGGGTTACTTATATTTAAAATTAAGGATTCAGATAGAACCCCCTCATCACCACTATTTCTGATTCTGAAGCAGCATCTTTCTAGGTGATTCATACTGTACCTCTTCTTTGGCAATTCTCATGTTGTCAGTGACCTCTGAAAACACTGTAGGTTTTATAAACAGGCCTCTGTCTTCAATGGCAAGACCTCCACACTCCAGCTTAGCCCCTTCTTTCTTCCCACTTTCTATCAGCTCCAGGATTTTATCAAATTGTCTTTGGTCAATCTGTCAGACACAAAAGGAAAAGAAACAAACAGCAACATCTTTATTATCATGGTTCCAGAGAGGAGTCATGGAATGTGGCCCAGGGGCACGTTTGCAGGGCACTGTCAAACTGGGTCAGTTTATAGCTCACTTTAGGATGTGGCAGTCAGGGAGTGAGCAGGGAGAAAGAGAAGACATGGGCATAGCTCTGAGCCACAGAAAACAGAAGGTGAAGTGACATGCAACAGTTTAATCTAATCTAATAGTTTGCTGCCACATGGAGGGGTCTCCCCCCTTTCCCTTCCTCTCTGTCCTGGATGTGTGCTCCCACAGCTCACCTCACTTGAGCTCTGGGATTTGCTCACCTTCTCCAAGCACTGGCTCATCTCAGTAGCAGTATGGGAACTGCCTGAGATGGATCAGAGAGCTCAGCAAGGGATCTGACCAGCAAAAGAATCAGTACAGGAGAGGGAGGACCAGGATCTAAGAACTATTAACTCAGTTTTGCTGCAGTGTGCAGCTTCACCTGCAGCTCTCCATCCCCAGCTGGAAGACCGCAGCAAGCTCTGCCTCTGTTTCCTTCCACAGTGCACACTACATGAACAACCTCAAGAAAAGCCCTGTTGGTGGGGTGACTTCACACCAACTGCTGCACCAAAGCCTTGCTTTTAAAATCAGAATCACTTTTCACAGTTCTTAGAAACTGGTATAATCCTACAATTTTTTCTTTCTCACATTTAACTACCTTTTCTAACTCCTCCTCCTAACTATGGAGTAATCTCAAATAGTGTCAGCCTTTAACCAGGGATTTCTGTAGGGGTGGGGAAAGGCCAGCCCAGTGACAGGACCCTGAAGCTGCACAGCTGCACCAGGTCTTGGAGGACACATCATGTACTCCACAAGCACAGTGTGTCCTGTGCTGGGAAGAGGTGCAGAAGCCCACAGCACTTCCACTCGCTGCTGACCCTTCTTCCATGCTCCATGTGCAGCAGTGGGCTACAGAACTGCAGGTTTCAAACAAACAGACCTGGCTCTTGACATGATGTGGAATTAAGTGATGAAACTCCTCATAACAGCTCACTGGAGATGGTAAAACACATTCAGAGATGTTGTTAAAAAGAAAAACTCAATAAAGAGCTTGACAAATTTATTGAGGTGATTAAAGAAAAGACTCCACCCACTGGTACAAGGTGTCCTGGAAGGCTGAGGGATTATTCTGATTGCCAGGTATCTCCAGATGCTTGTTCTGGCTCAATCCCCCTCCCTAGGCATCTGGTTTTATTTCAGCAGGGCCAGTTGCCAGTTGGGACTGTTTACACAGAGTGTTCCACACTTGACTCCTCCAGATTAGAGCCTATATCCTGTCCCTAGTTAATCCTGGCCACACACAATCCAAGTTTTCATGCTTTTAGACAAATATCAAAGGGGCAGGAGGGTGTCCTTGGGATACTTGTGGTACACAGTGGAAACAGAGCCCAGCACATCTCCAGGCAAACAGATGTGTGAGTAGCATGTGCACTGTGGGCAATGTGTCCTAAGTGCTTTTGTTCTCTCATGTGTTAAGGTGCTACCCAAGGACACACTTAATTTATGCTACTGCCTGAAGAAATGTGTGTCCTCCTTTAGGATACAGTGTTATACAGAGTTTGGCAGGTGTCAAACACATTGTCTGTTTGTCTGGTTGCTTAGTTGCCAAGTGTAAATAATTTGAAAATATCTGCAAGTGCTTTCCATCCTGGCATGTCTGTGATCCAGACCAATCCAGTCCATCCACTTCACATCACAGAAAACAAAACAAGGATATTTATACAGCTGTAACTTGTTGCAAGGCAAACTACAGTTAGATGAAAAGACAGTGGGGAAAGAAAACATTTGTAAAAATGACATGCAAGGGTGGAACTGTTTGTCATTGTAACTAGAGCTTGCAAGGCTTGTTTAAATTCTGTCCCCTACTCCACTATTATTTATGGTTCAAGCATTGAATTCTATTAAAAACACATGATCTGGTAAAGCAAATTCTACTATTTGTTCATCTAATTCAATAGAGAAGGAAGCTTTTGAGGATCACTGCAATACTGAAAATCCAAGAACCCCCAAATCTTCATCTCTTGCTTCATTTCAGTCAAGACCACAAGGAGAATTTTTTCCATGTGCAAACCTAGTGTTTGTAATCCTACAAAATAGCCCACAACTGTGTCCAACAGGCTGTTGGACACAACCCTTTTTACTTAAATGTTTTGTTTTCACACTTTAATCCTAAAGTGCATGTCTACAGCATAAGGAAAATATTCACTGCCTTATAAATCAAATTATATGTTTTGGGCTGAATAATTACTGACTAACAAGTACCACAGTTAGTGCTTGTTTTATTTCTGTAGACTAGGTCTTGCAGTCCACAAATCCCAGTATTTGGGCTCTAAAATAACAAAACTAGTCTAGTCTTGTTAGAATGTAATCCCTGTTCTAGTGCCCCAGGATGTCAGTCTCATCTAATGCAATTTGCTGTTCCAGTTGTACAATGCACTGGTTGACCAGTTTGCCATCTGTGCAGATTTACTTTATTGCTTCCCATGATATAGCTCCCAGGAATCCAAAGTTTAAAAATGCCTGCATTTGAGGTTGGCACTCTACTCAAACAGTCCTGAGCACCCCTCAGGTTTCTTGTGGTGTCCTTTGAATTCCAGCCAGTCAGCACTGCCAGACACATGTGAGTTTTGTAGAAGTCTCATCAAAGGCATGCCTCATTTCTGTCTAAATTTAATGCTGTTTAAAGTTGACCTAACTTTAATCAGAGCAGTACAGTTTATATCAGCATAACCCAATAACTGCAGCTGACACAGTCTTTTCCCCACTGCCATGCCATAAGCATCTATGCCAGTGAACAGTAATCCACATCAGGGATTTCTTCCTCACTTCCAAAAAGGCTGGATTAGACCTGAATCAGCCAGTTCCCCAATATAGTGCAGTGCAATGTAGGAACAAACAACTGCACATGGGAACACACTTCTGGGACTAGTTTATATCAACTTCAAGTTCTTGTGGAACAGGATTGTCATCACCTACAGCTGATGCAGGACCAAAGAGATCATGAGCTACAACCACTGTCAGCCTGAAGATTGGCTTCAACCCCTTCCCCTTGTTGGGTTCTAAGCTGGTGACCATCCCACAATGGGATCTGTGCAGCATTGTTGTGATGCTGTTGTGTATGTTCACCCTGACTTACACCAAAGGAGAATGAAAGAAACAGACTGGATCTAAAGCATCTGATGGGGAGAGATTAAGAAGAAAAATTATTTTTCCTGGTGATTCTTCCCTTATCTATCAGTTCAAGATAAAAAAACCCTCACAGGCACGCAGGTTACTTCAGGAACAGGAGGGGGGGGAAATTATCTGGAAGCTTCACATTTGAAGAGTAACTTGTGGACAGGTGTGAATCTTTGCTGCTTTCAGAGGTATTTTTAAGTCCTTGTGACACTGCATCAATTCTCTCCTCTGCTTAAATTTCTGTATGTGCCCACAACATAAGCTCCAGAGAGTGAGGAGCCATAGCTGCAGAGGAAGTGGCTGTCCCTTTGAACTGGCAACCACATAAAAGCTTTTGGATTTACAGTTTCCTCCCACTCCCTTAACACCTTCCTATCCTGGTCTTCACAGTTGCATACACAGAAGTTCAGGTGTGTGTGGGTGTGCTCTCTCCTACAAGTATAACAGGTAAGCCAGAGCAGGTAAAGAGAACAGATGGGCCATAGTTAAAATCTGACCAGACACTGCTATTCCAACTCACTGTTACCCTTAATTGCAGGTCTGTATGCAAAGGGTCTGCCTTGAGCCACAGCAGTGATCCCAGAGGATGGAGCTGTGCCATAGCTGGAAGTGCTCTGGAGCTGTGCACCCTGGAAGTGCACTGCCAGCCTGGCAGAAGCTGGGAACACTGATGAAGTTAAACAAGCAGCCCAGTTCAACATGCTCCAACCATTGCAGGGTGTTTCACCCTTTAAAATTCACAACTGAATGGATTCAGGAGCTATTCTCATGAAATCAATGTTTGAGGGTCAGCTCATCTCTGCTGGAACCAGTCTCAACATGGGATTCTTTTCCTAAGAGTCCTGAGCAGTTTGAAATCTCTAGGCAAGCTACAGGGCTGGATGCAGCCTCAGCCTGAGCAGGGGATGTCCATGATCTTATTGTCCCTGCATGAGGGCAAGCAATGAGGTTTTGCCATGCATGAATCATGTGCAGCTTCAGATCCAGATAAGGAGAGGCAGATGTCCTCAGAGCCACCCCTTCTCTGAGGGAACCTACAGAGACATCAAGTAAAAAAAACCCACAGTGCAGTACTGAGAAAAAGAGGCCTTGGCTGGGAAACTTGCTTTATTTTTGGTACCAAACAGTGGGCCTGTTAGGAGATCTGACCTAAGGATCATCTTCCCCCAGAGTTCTCCATCACAACTCAGATTGCCTCAAAAGGAAAAACTAAGAGGAAGGCTCTGGAAGTATTGAGGAGGCTGGTTCTGACAGCAGTTTGGCATGTTTCTTCCTCCTAATTCAGCTGAAACTTTTCCAAAGGATCAGAAAGGCAGCAGAGGAGGAGAGGGAAAGTGAGGACTCAGGAGTCTCTGGGCTCTAACTGCTTGTCATCACCCACACAGCCAAGGAGCTGAATAGCCATTTAACTGCACTCTTCTGCACAGAGCTATGGCTCACTGCAACATGCTTTGTGTTACTGCACCAGGGAGACAGCCCCTTCCATAAAGCTGGATAAGAACTGAATTAAATACATTTGTGTTTTTAAAAAATTACAACATAACATTTCAACAGTTGTGATTAATTGATATTTGAAATAGAGAGGAAAAATAAAGCCACGATACATTACTCACCCCTCGGCACTTCTGCTGGGACCGCATCCGTAAGGATAATATTTACACAAGGAAAATTATACAAAACCACAACCAAAAACCAAACAACAACTTTTCTCAGACACACAGTTACCTGGGGCCCTTGTTCAGTTCTGGCATCAAAGGGGTCTCCAACCAGTCTCTTCTTGGCAAACTCCACGCTGCGCTTGACGAACTCGGGGTAGATCTGCTCCTCCACGAAGACGCGGGAGGCAGCTGTGCAGCACTGCCCCTGGTTGAAGAACACGCCTTGGTGGGCACATTCCACTGCCAAGTCCACTGTGAAAAGACCCAGGAGGGAAAAGTGTTACCACATGCACAGTTCCAGCATTCCAGTGTTGCCAGACTTGTTGTTTTTCCCTTCTCTTTGGAAAACCTCCTTTAAAAATGCTGACAATGGTCCACACCCATGGAAGGCACTCACAGGGCCTCACTGCCCCCAAACCAGATCTTTTATTGTATCCACCTCCCTTCCTGCCTTTTGTCTTGAGGTCTAGTTGGTCATAGTTCCTGATACTTTCTTCCACTAGGACTCGCTGAAGGCAGTGACCAGTTTTTCTTGCTCTGGGAATTCTTGCTACCATGCATTGGTTCTTAAAGACAAGTTTCAGTCATGATTGTTCAGAAAACAGCATGCCAGCTTTGGCCAGCTCCTTGCAATGCTCACAATTAGCAGCTGGCACAAATACCACTGATTTTCAATGTGTGCTGTAAAGGACAGGAGAGGATTTTCCAACCATTTTGGTGGTCACAGGTTACATATATCTCCTAGTACTACTGAGTCATGTAACAAAATTGCAATGAAACACACAACGTGAGCCCTGCAGACCATCAGGGTGGAGGTGAAGGCTGGATTAGATCAGGTCCTACAAAATTCCCCTGTCACGGGAATGTCTGCAGAGGGGCTGCTTTGCATAAAACTGCTCTCCCCAGTGCTTGGCTCAGGCTTTGCAGCAAATCAAAGAGAAAGCCCACAAATAGCAAACACCCAAGTGCAAGATTTAACTACAACTGCAGCCATCCCAAAGGAAGGCAACACGGGCCATGGGAACAATCCCCATGTTGGGGAAGAGCTTCAGGAATGCAGAACTATATCCTGTCCTTGGGCAGAGGTTTCCTCCAGCCTTTGGGGTGGAAAAACCAGTCCTGTGAACTGCCAGAGGACAGCAGAGACACACAAACCCCACCACCCTGGATCCTCTTACAGCAAGCACAGCCAGCAGCCCATACTCACAGTCTGCATCTGCACACACAATGCAGGGGTTTTTCCCTCCCAGCTCTAATGTCACCCTTTTGAGGTTGCTTTTAGAAGCAGCTTCTTTGATCAGTTTTCCAACCTGTATCAGACACAAAGAGGACACGAGTTGTTTCCCCTAAAAATCTTGAGTGTGATTCCATTTCAACAAAGGTGGAAGAGCCTGGTTGGCAGCTGCAGCAGGTAGAGGCCTGGGAGACCACTCTGAAATGCTTTGAGTTTCTTGCTGCTGTGATCTGTTGGGTCAAAACCCGCCCCAGAATTAGGGACTGGTTTAGGCAGGTCTGAAAGGGCAGGCTGTGTGGGAGAACTACATCTGTATCCTGAAGGGAAGTTATTTACTCTGTTTTCAGAATTTCGTAAACTAATTTTGTTAGAAACAGTATGAATTAAAACTCTTCAGGACCTTTAGTTTTTAGGGCAGGGTAATTTCTTAAGAATTATGTAATATTTGAATATTTGAATTTGCTCATATTATAACTATGTTCTTGTATTTTACCTTGGCACAGGGAAACCTTACCTTTATTTTTGACTAAAACTACTCTTGCCCTGGTGTGGAGCTGTGAGGAAGGAAAGCATGGGGTAGCTCTCTGGTAATCACAGGTCTGCATTTCTCAAGGTTTGCCCTTGTTACTCAAGCATGACTCCTGAACTTAGGAGAGACCATCTCTAGTCACTCAGAGCTTAGGCCTAGAGACAGCAGAAATAAGTGATGCTTCCCAGCTTTGCAAGAGGCATTACTGCAGGCTGGCTGGCCAAAGAGGAGTGAGTTAATAACCTAAGAGAAGAGATCTATATGGGAAAATTCTTGTGGAGTTTAAGATCAGGATTTCCAAGCCAGCACTGAGCCCAAGCTGGGGCTTAATAATTAAGTCAAAATATATTTTGAATTAGCTTCACTTCCTGGCTCAGAAACAGTAGCATTGTGCTGCAAATGCTGCAGAGATGCAGCTGAACTCACAGATGGGTGGAGGGGGAAGAAAACACTTCTAAATTACACATGCATTAGCAAAGGATCTGTCTCCCTTAGTGTTTCCTGCACACCCATGGATTAGGAGACAAGCACAGTGTCTACAGGAATTTTTTTGCCTACAGGCTCCAGCAGCTGAGATTTTCCTTCTGCCACTAATCCACTGGATAGTCCTTTTTCATTAAAAACCCAAACAGATTCATGTGGGCTGGATGAGTTTATAAGCTCCATTGTTTTCACACTGCTAATGTCTCATCTGGGCTAAAAGTTTCTGATCTAGGATTTGGAGACAAGTATGTAACTGAGGAAACTCCAAGATCAGACCAACTATCAAGAGAGAAAAAGCTCACAATGAACTTCTACTTTATTGTGTTCCGTTTGTTCCCATGATCCCTGTATAGAAATAGAGGCTTAGCACACCTTTTCCTGTGGGATAAGCACAGGATGTGCACAAAGCCACTAGATGGTAGTGTTGGTAAATGCTGCAGCTTTTGAGTGTTTGGAGTTACCTTTACCGACCAGGAACACCTTTCAAGGTAATTTGTCATCATTATGCATTCACATCACACTCTGCAATTACGAGGGCAGACACAAGAATGGATGAATTCAGCAAATGCTCAACGAGAATAGTGTTCCTCAAAGAAGTGACACAGGCTGAATTTGCCTCAGCTGCCCCCACTGGTGTGAGCATTTCCATTCTTTGGACACCTGCCTCTATTCTAGAGGTGCAGATCTACTACAAGAAACATCTAAAGCAGTCCATGGAAAAATGTTCACTTTTCTAAGCAAGCTTCTGTTTTGAGAATTTTCAGCAGTGATTACTGCAGTCAGATTTGTTTGCATGTCTCAACTCTGCTCAATTCCATGGTCTTGGCCAAGCCATATGCATTTTTTCCTTTTGGTTTTGGAGGGGGTTGGTTGGGGTTGTTTGTTGTTGCGGGGTTTTTGGGGCACCCCTCTCATAAACAAGCCAGACACATCTATTTACAGGAAAAAAAATCTAAATAGAAGGTGCTTTACTGTGCAGGTCTCAGAATGAAGCTCAAATGTTAATCCCCTCCACGTCAGCAGAGAAGGCCTTGGGCATGAAGCCATGTTTTTATTTAAGTCCTAGTTTCTCAGAGGTAACTAAAGCCAAGGAAGAATTGTTCAGGGCTCTGACTGACATGTTTTCCAGTTGCAGGGCAGGACTGGCAGGCAAACATGCCCAGAAGCTCCACTGGGTCAATGACATGATGTTAAATCACTGCCAGCCTGCCCTGTAGACTGCCTTCCCTTACGTCAGAGCCCTTTTACTTACAGCTCTTACAGAAATGTGGTGGTTTGGCAAAACCCAGCTCTCAAGAGATGCGGGATTATTACAAGCACAAGGATCTGAATTAGGCAAATACCAAACACTTCTGAGAAATCCTGTCACATAGAATGTGACAGAGGAAGTGTTGGTTATACAGAGGTCACTGACATTTCATAGGTCCAGTCTTACCTGGATGACAGTTTACAAGAGAATGCAAAGAGGAACAGCAGGTGTCTTTGAGAAATCTATCACCTACCTTGGTTGATCCAGTAAAAGCAATTTTATCAATGCTGTCATGGGTAGAAATTGCAGCTCCAGCTGTGGGGCCATAGCCTGGTACAATGTTCACCACCCCAGGAGGGAAACCCACCTGAAACAGTTTAAAAACAGCTCTGTAGGGAATTTGAGAGCACAACTCATTTCTCAGGAAGCCTGGATTAGTTGTACTATGCTCCTCTGAGCTCTTACCAGATACATCCCTGTTTTCCAGACTTTCCAGTAACATGGCTGCATGCTACCAGCTGGAGTAGTCGTGGGTGAAGCTAACAGCCATGCTTAGGAAATGCCAAGTTTCAGTAAGAATTCTTGGAGAAGTCCTAGTTTCAAGTCAAAAGAGAGTGAGTCTTTTGGCCAAACTTGGCCCCCAGCTACTGCAGTGGAGCTGCAGCCAAAGGGTAAATGAATGAAAGTTTGTTTTGAACAAAGGTTGACATTTGTGGTTCTTCAGGGACCAGAGGGATTAAGAAGTCAGTAAAACCTCACTAGATGATGGGGCTAATAAAACAGGAGTACAAAAGCAGATGGTAACAAGACTTATGCAAGTTTCCACCACATTTACAACCTAGATTTGCCAACTAGTAATTTTGCCAAAATAGACAAATGGCAAAACTTCAGGTGAAATTCTAGTACAAGAAGAACTGAGGGACTTGGTTTGGTTTTACTTTCTGAAACAAGAGTTTCAAGGATTATTGCTCTTCTAGGTTAGCCTTCCCTTACTACTCATAGCACAAAGTTGTTTTCCCTGCAATTTCCAATGATGAAGGTCCAGAATATAACACATTTGCTTCATTTCCAATGACTTTTTAATACAAAATCTCAAAAATGCCACTTTTTAATAGAGAAAAAAAAAAAGAAAGCAATTGTTTATGTACTGTCTGCAAAAAAATTATCCTCACAAGACTTTTTCTCCCCATTTTTTCTTTTCATAAATTGGAAGGGCAGTCTCATTTCTTCTATGGATGTGACAATGACAAAAATGCATTTAATGGAGTTTGCATCTTGGCTAATGAGTTTTCAAGCAAATACTGCACATCAAACTGTGCAAGTAATGATGTTTGGAGTCAGCAGCGAAGCCACAAGGAAGTAAAAAATTGGTTCAGAATACCCTGAGCCAAATTTTTTTTTCTGTTTTTCAGCAAAAATGAAAGCCAAGTATTTTTGGTTGGCCAAAAATTATTTCATTGAACGTAACACATAGCTTTGTGTGTGTGGTAACATCTTCTACATCCTTTTAAAGATGAAAACAAAAAAACTTAACACATTTTTCTTAAAAACTTAAAAGAATTTAGCTAATTTTGGGCAGAGAAAGGAGCATCTTCAAATAAAATCATTGTGCACTAATTACACTTCTGCCTTGAAGGACAACAGCAACATTAGAATTTGAGCTGAAAAAAAATTAATTTTAACAGAATTGAATGGTGGTTTTTTGTTGGGAATGCTATGCCAGAGTCAAAACCAGCAGTGGTGTGGCAGGGCTCACTAGAAGTCATGACAATTGCACCCTGTGCTCACTCACTCATCTTGTGTAATCTCATTAAGCCAAGTAACTGTAGGAGATACTTAACTGGTATTATTTTTCCACTTCCTTTCCTGATGGAAGAGCCCTAAGTGTCAATTATCAACATATCTTTGTTTTCTTCCAGGCTAAGCCAAGAAAGGACAAAATCATCATTTGACTGAGCCTAACAAACAGACTGAGAGGGAAAAGTCCAATCTACAACTCCTTTAGTTTTCCTCAGTCAGTCACATCCATAGCTATAGGAAGCTGATGTATTGAGCAGTGCTGGAAGGTTCTGTGCCCTTCCCACCTACTCTGTACAATTAACAGACCTGCTGGCACACAGGATCCTACCTGACAAGCCCTAAACCAGCATTTTAAAATCCCAATCTATCATCTTGCTTTTATTTCAGTTGACTTTACAGGCTAGACACAACTAAATTGTTCTATGAACCACAGAAATTACAAGGAATTGTTTTCCAGGGCACTCTGTCTTGGTTGAATTATCCCACTTAAAAACAACAAACAACATGGCTGTCTAATCACACTCTTTTTTTGTTCCATTGTCTAATAAAACTGAGCTTTTGTCTTTCCCTCATTTGGGAGAGGGGAAGACAAGGTAGGGGAAGAAAAGCATCTTTTTTTCTCTCTGCAGCTTCCTGAGAAAAATGCACAGGTTTTGTGATGTTTGCCACCTCCCAGCCAATCACAAAGGCCTTTGTAAAAAAAGACTGAAGACAGAGGTTGTTCTCACTTTCTTTTGTGAGCCCATTAAAGCTGGAAGTCTGTTTGTTATGCTCAGACTCTTTAAAACCTAAAAATCTGGACAGCCAATTCAAAACACAGCCTTGCTTATGACCTTAAGAGAGCAGAACCTCGAGGGGCTGTTGAGATCTCCTCACCTCCTTGATCAGAGAGCCAATGTAGAGCGACGTGAGCGGAGTTTGCTCAGCTGGCTTAACCACCAGAGTGTTTCCACAGCACAGAGCTGGTGCCATCTTCCAAACCAGCATCAGCAGGGGGAAGTTCCACTGCAAGAACACAAGTCACTGGTCAGATCAGCCTGCCACAGTCACCTACTCACTTCCATGCAGCCTTTTTCCAGCTCGGGGAGGAAAGGAACTGGGAGGAAAGCCACAAAGAGGAGCGTCTGTTTATAATACTGTGTTTGCTTGGGCTAAGGAATAACAACTTCCTTGATTTCCCCCTGAGATCCCTGACATTGCTGGCAGTCCTTACATTAATCCTGTAAGCTGGACAACCTTCTGCACGATGTGACCTCATTCTTTCAAGAAGTTTGATCACATTTTGTGTAGGATTTTGGCTCTTTACAGATACTGTGTTGGAGGCAGTTTCCTGATACATCACTTCTGTACAGCATCTGTATGTGGGGAATTACAGAATGCAACTACTCATTGAAAAAAACCTTTTTTTCTCTGTTAAGCACTAGCTGAGTAGTTAGGAGTTATATAACATCATTCAGTTCCAGTTTATAAATAGGAAGCTGCAGTGAGTTGTTCAGTCATGGAAATCTAGGGGAGGTCTCATACTCCCTTCATATTGTAAATTGTTCCTTTCCAATTCCTTTTCTAATTTGGAATTAGGAACCAGTCCACATCAGTTTTCTCTGTGCTAATCTCTTTCATGGTCATGTATATTTGGGGATCTTGTAGTCTAAGCAAGAAGTGGAAAATCTAGCTCACTTTGAATCTCAGAAAGGTCATTTGGCAGCAGAAAAGATTTTTTCATTAAAAATAATTAATGCTGCTTCAGGGATGATGGAAGCAGGCCAACAGCAAGGGGACTTCTTGTCAAAACTCAAGCCAAGGCCCTTCAGCTATCAGCAAAGAAGCCAAGTATGTCAGGAATCCACAAATTCACACTTACAAATAAATTAGCAGTGTAGCTTTTGAGCCATGAGTTCTATTCTAACCCTGAGACAAAGCAGAATTTGGTCTCCAGTGTTATCTTCAACTTGCTTCACCCATTTCCCCAGACCTGTTCCATTTCAGTGATCTTCTCCAATGGTCACATCCCATAATTTGCCCATTTGTCTTTTTCTCCTAAGTTTTCTTGGAGGCCTGGCAGCTTGAGCCATTTACACCTACACTACTTTCTACAGTTTCAGAGCATGAAATAGCTCCATTAGGAGCTTTCTGCTGCAGAGTGGCTGGTGAAAGTAACAGTACAGGACTCCAGGGATGCCTCACGATATCACCTTGGGATAAAAATCAGCCATATGCTGCACTCCCTAAGAATTTCTCTAGCTAAATAAAAATATAATGTTATTTAAATATAGTCAAGCCACAAGAGAAATGGAGGCCCTGTTAATTGGTATAGGAAAACATAGCCAGAACTTTTTTCAATCAAGTAGGAAATACAAACCCACAGGCTGTTGGTGTTATCAAGATTGAACTGAGAAAAAAATTGGAGAAGATTTGTTCTAAATAAACTGAAGACAGATGTGGTTTTGTTGACCCCAAACATTCTTTATACAAACACAGTGTTGATCTTAAGTCAAATTTGTTTCTGTGCTTTCAGTTGTATTTATTGCTGGTCTAGGGTCAACCTGAGATCTTACAAGCCCCACTCTGTCCCCTACAGTGACCTTCCAAAGCATCCCTCATGTAGGCTTTTAAAGGGATATTTTCCAATGCACTGCTGAGTGGCAAAGGTGGCTGACAGTGACAGGGAAATACCTTTTAACTGGTGATCAGTGTGAGGAACCTGAGATTTTGATCTTAAGTCATAAATTCTGCTCAGCAGAAGTCACATTGCTTGCTCAGCCAGAAAAGCTGAGCAGTCACCAAGAGAAATGTTTGATAACCTGCTTTGCCTCACCCTGAACACTGCCAAAGAGACCATGTCCTCTCATCACCTGGGGTACAAATTGAGTCCTGCTGAAGGAAAAAGCAGAATTTCCCCAGACATCTCTGGGATCTGGTCCAGAGCTGGTATTCCCAGGGTCCAGCAAATCCAATGTCCCACATGCATTTCTTTCAGTCTTTAGTCTTATCTCAAAGGTCAAAAGTCTTCATGAACTCTTACTGGTCCAAGTACCATATAATCATAGAACATCCTGAGTTGAAAGGGATCCACTGGGATCATCAAATTCCAACTCCTGGACCTACACAGGACAGCACCAAGGATCCCACCACAGGTCTGAGAGCATTGTCCAAATAAGTCTTGAGCTCTGGCAGCCTTGGTGCTGTACCCAAACAGAGACTCTTGACACAGCACCATTTGCTTCACAAACTGTAGGATACCACATTCAAAGCATTTTACAACCAGACAGGAACAAAATCTGTCTCCCATGAGCTGTAAAGTCTTCCTGGCTGTCTGTTGAAACAGAGCAAGCAACACATGCTAACACTGGAGGCATTCCAAGAGCTAGCCACATCGTCCCCTCAGCAGAGAATAAGACCTCAAGGAAAAGAAAACTCTATTCAGTGAGATTTAATCCCAGAAAGCTCAGAAAGCAGCCAGACATAATTAATTGATAATGGATATGATTTAAAACCCAAAACTATGCATCAGCACGAGGCAGCAGAAAGCCAGCACTCCTCATGACGAGATGGTTGTCCCAGCAGTGTGAGAGTCAGAGCTCTGACTGGTCTCTGGTGACTGGTGTCAGCCTCGGAGAGCAACAGAGCATCTGATTAGGAGACCCACCCTTCCACTGCAGAGCACTTCTGTTGCCAAGAGCAATTGGCATGGGGGTAAAACACAAAACTACATCAGGCCACTGAGATGGGAGTTCCCTGCAGAACAGCTGTGCTAAGCCAGCCAGCAAATGGCTGCAGGGTAGGATGGAGTGCACAAGGAATTTCCAGTTCTGTGGGAGATGCAGGGCACCAGCACTGTCACTTACTGGAGTTATGGCTCCACAGACACCCATCGGCTCGTGCCGGGTGAAGCAGACAAAATTTTCATCTGCAAGACAAGAGAGTAAAAGGGGACAAAACAGTCAAAATCCTCTTTTACAGAATGCGTGTGAGGCAGCTGCACACAAACAGGTTGGGGACAGAACTAAACCCCTGTTAGACAGAGAACACTGTCTGTTCCTCCTGACTCATGCCTTTGGGACACCCCAGTCAGATGAAGATCTGAGTACAGGTCTTGTCCCAGCTTGAAAGCCAAACACCACTCACAGTCACACAGGAACCTTTTAAAACCAGGGTTCAGTTCCTTCTGCAAACTCCCGGTGTTGAGGCTGAGGGGAGGATAACTCTTTGTCACACTGAAGAGTAAACAAGTTTTGTTCAGACTGTGTCCTACTGAAAAACACAAAGCACTTGTCTCCCCGAGGGAGAGAGTTTTAAAACCCATTTTATACAGGAATCCTGTTCAGTGTGACAGGAATTACACTCCTGGTAAGAAATCATAAAAAGATGAAACTCTGGAACTAAAATAGTACCATTCACCTTAAAATACTGCTGTTACTTTTCAAAGAGAAAGCAGGAAGAACATTTGCCTTTCAAATTCATTCTTGCTGAACACCTAGTTTCATTTGGGAAGATGTGACAGAGAGCAAGAGCATTCAAATCAGGACAAACAAGTGATTTCAAATCAGAACAAACAAGCAGTGTCCAGACAAGCAAAGCTTTACACCACTCTGAATGAGGGTGACAAATCTCAGTTTATATGACTGACATGCTGCCTTTGCTGTCTGCACAGGCTGAACTAGCTCAGCCTTCCAGAGCCCTTCCTCTGGTGACTAATTTCTGTCTGCAGTGTCTGTCCTTCACACAGCCTCAGTGATCACCCACATGCAGGGACAAAAGAGGCCAAATTGTAAATACCCCATATTGCCCATCATGCCACAAGGACATCCATTCTCTTAATTGTTCTCACCAAAACCATATTTGAACTTTTATACCTGGACCAAAATGTTCACTCTGTGTGACTGCTCTGACCAAAAGCTTCTCTGTTAAAAATGAAACAGAAGAGCCCACACATTATTTTCCAGAGATCTATCCAGGCATTAACTACGTTCTCCCATTAGTTTCAATATTCAAACACATCTGCTTAAAATGCATCCTGAGATAGAAAGGAAGTGCAGGCTATTTTTGCAGGTTTTCAGAAGCCAGTCTTTCCATGGATCTCCTTCCCCCTCAAGCCTGATCCCATCCCAGCTCTGAAAATGTGTCTGAAGGTACTCACCCACTGGAATAGTTCTGCCCTGAATTTTATCAGCCCATCCAGCATAGTACCGCAGTGTTTTTATGCAGCCCTCCAGGTCAATGAAATAAGCCTGCAGAAAAGGTTTTCCTGTGTCCATTGTTTCCAGAGTCTGAAAAAAACCAATTTGCAAACAATGTCAGAGAAATCTTTTCTTAAAAAAGAGCTTTTAAAAACCCTCTTCTCAGCTTTATTGTGCCTTGTTCTGAAGACATAGAATGTTCTTCCCTCTTATTATATTTAGAAAATGAGCTTGTTAATACAAATAATGCAGAAGGGAAAGCAGACACAGTAACTCTCATGTGTACAGGAGTTGCTTTGTTCAGGGGCACCTTCCAGAAGCCTCTAGCAGGTGAGTGTGGGTGGGATACAGGCTGGGGTCTGGGGCACTGGTCAGAAACAATATGAGCATCATGACTTCACCCTAACTGACCTTCCAACACAGATGTTCTGGAGTCCAGATGGTGTCACTGAAGTCAGGCAGAGCTACTTCCCCTCTATTAGAAAAAAATCTTAATTTTCTACTTTATAAGCCTAAACCCAACCTCTGAAAAGCCTCTTTTGTCCAATGATAAACATACTTTTTACAGAGTTCTGGTAACCTTTGGGCTCATATCTGTGCTGAGCCCAGGGCAAGGCAGAAGTTGCCCCACTGAAGCTTCACTGGTGCTGATCAGCTCTAAACAAAGTCCAGGCTGAGCCTGTGTCCTTCACACTGTTCTGGACATTAGCTCAGGGAATGCTTTGTTCTCCATGCTCAGGTCATTAAATGGGATATTGGTGCAAATGGCCAGCACATCCATAAAGGAAGTACTATCCCTTGGTAGATTGAAACATCTTTGTTTACACATGAAGTCATACCCTGTCATGCTCCACAGACATTAGGGTCCAAACAGCACTTGAACAGACATTCCTCTTGGAATGGCAAGAATTGTTATCCACTGAATGTCTGCTAAAACAACTGATTTTTATAAGTCATTGCTCAGCACACAGCCAGGACAGCCAGGGCTGGTTTTCTGCAGTGCAAACAGCAATGCCAAACAAGCCCTCCCAGACAGAAGGACAGTAGAAAGCTTGAAGTGTTTTCTGGTTAAGGGAAAAGGGGGGTGCTCCAAAGTCATATCAAAAAGTGAGCAAAAAATAAACAGTTTATTCACACACACACACATATATATGTATTCTTTTCTTCTCTCTTACTTGCTGCCCAGAACTGTCTTCAGAATGGAATGTTTTGTTTTTGCCCTGCTGAAACTGAAAGCTGTCATGTGGTTGAGTGACACTGTGTTGGGGAAAGAGCCTCAGCTCAAAACAGTCACACAGGTACAGGCTCTTGAGCACATCCCACAGATGTCAATTCCCACTGACCTCAGCAGGGCACTGGCTCAGTTACCTGCACATCTGACAGCATGGAATGTCATAAATGCCTTTCCCTGAAAGTAAAAGTGCAGCACTGAACTGGAGAGTGCTGGGATCCAAGAGCTTAGGTGTGGATGGACAGCAGCCCAAGCTGAGGATCTCTGGGTGGCATTTGGAAAGATGTACAAGGCTGTAGAGTCCCAAGGCTTCTACCAACTGAGAACACTTTAGCTCAGGTTCTTATCCCTTTGTTCTGCACCAGCAGGACTCCTCCAGGACAGAATCATGAAGCCATTAGCAACAGTTCTTCAGTGCAAAAGTCCAAGTTAACACAGCTTCACAGATATAAAGAGATTTTCCTGAGCCAGAACATTCAATAGGGAAAGAAACAGTTCCCACTTATACACATTTTAAACTTTGGATGATATCCAGCAAGAGAAAGATTCTCTTCCTCACCCTCCATTTTAAGGGAAGGAATTTGCACAGAAGTCAAATACACCTGCATTTTTGTAATAAAGAATGAGTCAGTTGTGGTGGTTTGATATGATTTGGTTGTTTGGGTGTATTTTTCTAAATAAGAGCTGGGAGACAGCTATAAACATCAATGTTAAAACAAAAAATATTGCTTTGAAAATTTAAGTATTAATATATTTAATCACTTCAATAACTAGCTAAAGTTCTGCAAAAGTCAGCTATGTAGAACTGACAGCCTACAGTTCTGCCTAAAATCCTGCAGAAAAGGAACAAAGCCATGACTCCTGTATGGAGTCTTCTGCCCTTCATGAAGAGAGGGAAAAGAAAAATATTAGGTAGATATGGATACACCAGAGGGATGAAGCAGAGTTGTGAGCCAACTGTTGCTGGCTTATCACTGCTCCCAGTACTCACTGCCAGGATGACTCTGTCCCGCTCCAGGAGATCAGCCAGCTTGTGCAGGAGTCGTCCTCTGCTTGGGGCATCCATCTGTCTCCACGGAGAGCCCCTCTGGAACGCTGCCTTCGCTGCCTCCACTGCATTATCCACATCAGGCTACACAACACACACAAGAAAACCTCAGGTAACAAGGAAGGAGCTGGACAATGGCACAGAGTGCCCCCCAGGGTGCTTCCTGGCTGGTGCTGTGGTGGCCAAAACCAAGTTGTCCAACAAAACCATTTTCATTTCATTCCTGGATTTGAGTTCAAGCCTGGAATATGTTTTATGTTTGGCCTGGGCTCATAAACAACCTTGAGGTCTGAATACCAATTGGGTCTTTCAAGGGTAATTTAATGTAACTGACTTGTTTATAAAATAATCCAGAATCGTGTTCCTGCCAATACAGGATGTGACACTGGGGGAGGATGAAGAATCATGACAGGCCACTGGCCTACATGAATTAGCCTCCTCTAAACAAGTGTGGGCAGGAAAATCCCCCATGAGATCAAGATTTTACCCAGGGAAGTAATTACAGCTCAGATCCCACCATCCAGTTCCCCTGGAGCCCATGCCAAGGCAGTTAACACACTGAAAAAATCACCCTTAGAGCCTAGAACACATTCCCAGAACGTTTCCACCAGATGGGAAAGGTTTTGCTGTTCAGTGTTCTGACAAAGATGTTTCCCCTACACACACTGAGTGCCATTGTCCCTTCATCTCCCAACAGCTTTACCATCCTCTGGACCAAATCCAACTCTGCTTAACAAAGTTCCTAACCAGAGGGGGAGAAAGTTTCTCTCTTCTCACACCATCACCCCTGGAGCTTTATTCATTTGCTCTGGCCATGGTAAGACCTGGACTCCTCCCACCACCTCGCATACATTGATTAAAAAAGTGAAGCCAAGGAATCCAATGGAATCTATGGGAACACTGCCACCAACAACCACAAGGCCAAGGCTGTACCCCAAGCATTGATAAAGCTTTGGACAGATTCCCGCTGTATGTACGGTCTGGTACAGCCCAAGCATCACTTCAGCTGATGGAGAACGTGCACCTCACTGCAATATCTGGCTCCAAAGGGTGGGGAAGGGGGAAGGGAGTCAGACCTTGATCATTCCTCCCAGCACTTCACCAGTTGCTCTCATCTTTTCCTAATTGTATCCAGACAAGACTTGAGGAAAGGTAATGAGCCTCTGCACTGATCCAACAAGGTCTGGCCACATCCCCCTCATGGGAGGGCATGTGTGGTGCTCAATCAAGAAAAAATGTTGTAGGGAGACACGCTGCCTTCATGGTCAAAACTACAAGTCATCACCCAAGGCAATGGCACCTCACATTAAACTTGGTACCATTTCTTTACAAAGAGATCACACAGCTTTGAAACAGTCTGACCTATACTGTCAGGAAAAGAATTCCATCCTTTTGGAAGAGCACAGATGGGAAGCCATTGGAGGAAACTTTTGCTGTCAAAGGATGGCTCTGGTTCAGCAAGGGCTGCTGGTGGGGCAGAGGTGTGCAGAGCCATTGAGCACACACAGGCAGGTCCTACCTGGGGCCAGCCCATCACCCACAGCCACAACAGGGCTTTGAATGGCTCACTCTGCTGGAGTTGATCTGGATTCAGCTTGGCACATCACAAAAGCCAGAAGGCACCACCAGCCACTGCACACTCATGTATCCCCCATCCTGCCTGCTGGAATGAAGGCTTAAACTGAAAGAAGGCAATATTTTATGTGACAGAGCAGGCAAAGGAACATAAGTGTGTCAGGTTTAAACAAGCCTTTCCTTAACAGCAATTAATTAGTTCAGCAACCAGGCTGGGAGCACAGATGTGCAGGGAACTGGGTCTGCAGTGGCACAATGCCTTTGGTACGAGGGTCTTCCCTCCACCCTGGCACTCAGAACAGGAGTGAGATGACTGTGTGGGCAGAGGATTTCAGTGCATGCCCAAATCTTCCCCAACCTCTAAAAATGGGAGCACACGAACCCTGCTGCAGTGCCTGTAGAGACAAAAATGAAGACAACCATCTTTCTCAGACATTCTGGGTACAAATAGTGGTTTAGAGCATGCAGTCACTGTCACACAGGCAAACAGGCTTTCCCTAAACACCCTCCTGGTAGCAGCACCAAGTGATGTCCTGAGAGCCTTTCTGCACAGCCTCAATAGGCCTGAGAGACCAGCAAAAACAAGGAAATCCTTCAGGAAGGCTGAAATGCCATTCTTAATCCATCCTGTTATGACTAGGCATTAGGGGAGTCTGAATGGCATGTTCATTGCAGGCATGTTGCAATAGGTAGGCACAAGGTGTGACAAAGTGACTCTGAACTGTCAGGGTGCCAGGAACACCCTGTGGTGCACAAAACCACAGTAGGAGGAGATCCATGCATCCTGGTGCTCCACTCGGATCTATAACAGATTTAATGAGCATTACATAAAAAGCTCCACCAAGAATATTAAGATTGCAAAGTCTTTACAGTGTTGGGAAATGCCTGCAAACCTTCATACCCACCTGGGGTGTTTGAATTATGATACAACCCCCAGTTACACAATCACATACCTTCCCCCCAAACAAACTGAACACTGTTCTTTGTTCTGAGCTGCCTTGTCCATCTTCCTCCTCTACCTCAAGGCCTGCTCATTGCTGCTCCTTTTTTTCCCATCCTCCTTTCCTCTCTCCTGCCCCAACAGCAGGCTGCAGAGCACAGTGAAGACCATCACCCCACTGGCTCTGTGAGTGGGGAAAACACCTGCAAAAAAGCCTTGCTCTGCTTCAATCTCAGGGTGCCCCAGAGTGCTCCAAGTGTGGAGACATGCCAGGAGTACAGCACACCCACTGGGGACCCTCTTTCTTCAATTCACCTAATGACTTCTTCAAAAAGCCTCCCCTGTGCACATCTTTGGAAAGACACTCTTCTGACACAGGGCATGAGCATGTCACAGTTTTTCAGTTACAAGAGGTTTTCTGACCTGCTCCCCTGCAAACAGTCCACAGATTTAATTGCTTTAAGTTCCAAACTTGAATTTAAAACAGCTACAAACACCATCCTAACAGCCTGAAACGTCCAAAATTGTTATGGAGGGCATTGCAAGTCTGCTGTGGTCTTACCTCAGTCTGCCACTACAATCTGAAGGGGACAGGCTGAACAAATCCTTCTCACAACCCTTCAAAGATCCACATGAGATTGAACTGTTTAGAAATGATCATGACAGAAACTTGACAGTCACAGCTGTGGACCTGAAGCCAATGCTCTGAGGCAACTGAGCTGGGCACTCCTTTGAGGAAGGAGCACTTTTCCCCTGTTCCTGATGGATGTCAGGAAGCTGCTAGAAGGAAAAAGCCTGTCCCCAAGTGTTAGGGACAGCACCAGAGTTACTCTTTTTTGTATTATCAGCCTGGCAAGCAGTTGGACACTAAGCTTTTATTTGTGAGGTATATTCCAGCATCCAGTGGAAATATCCACCATTTTATTTTCAGGGTGTCTTTTTCCACACAGACTTTTCTTTATCCCTCAACTGTCCCATCAAGGACAATTCTGTAACTAAAGAATAGACAACAAAACCTTTGCTTCTAGGCTTATAAAGAATTGGCCAAGTTTCAGCACCAGACTAAGCTATCATCACTGAGATATCAGCTGCCAAATTTCCACCCCTCACGTGCAGCCTAAGCAAAACACTCTGCATGGCCAGGGAAGGGCAGGTTTCTGTTCAGGGTTTGGGAAGGGGAGTTTTGCTCCCAGCCTGCTGTGAAGGCAAAGCCAAACATTGGCAGAGCACAGCTGAAGCCAGTAGCAGGAGCTGCCACCCCTGCAGTGGCACTGGCCAGCACAGCAAGTACAGTGGCACATGGGGACAAGGCACTGGAAAGCACTACTGAACACAGCTCACACACCTCACCAATTCCTGTGGTGACTCCAGCAGACTGGAGGTACAACCCCACGAGGGGATGAACCAGAGCAAGGGAAGCCTCAGGGACCTCAGTTTGCCAGAAGAGAGTAGGACATGGTCAAGTGTCACCAGAAGGCAAACAGCTATTTGGGGATGGTTATCACACATCACTCTTTAATCCAGATCCAGGTCTAATCCCCACTCACTGTCCTGGAAAAATCTAGTCAGAGCAAAATATTGTTTTAAAAGATGAGATGTATAGAAGAGGCTTTCAGCACCCAAAGCACAGCTAGCTTACATTTTTGGCTGCAATTTTCACTAAGAAATCAATCACCTATATACTGAGGATTCAGGGGAAGAGAGCTCCACTGACTGGAAAAGCTCCACTTCCTGCAAGCCAGAAGCTGAACTCAGACAGGGACAAATCTCAAGGAGGCAAAACTGGCCTGTTAGTTCTGTATAACAATTTTTTTTTAGCCAACACTGAGAAGCAGGCACAAACTGCTCATGTAATACTCTACAGCTGATTGAGGAGACACTTAGCTCAGGGAACAATAACAACGTCATGGTTTCTGCCTATCAAAATACAGTTGCATCAGAGTCAGCTTCAATTCCACTGTTTACATGCCACTGCAATTAAACACAGTTGTGTCCTACCCAGTCAGGATAAAGAAATGACACATAATGTTTGGTTCTGCCTCAATGTGTAATTGCCCCACGGATGCACAGATCCCCAGTGGCAGTAAGTCTTGGAGGCTGCCTCACAAGCACTGGACAAGCTTAAATATTATGAAAAAGATGTAAGTGCAGGCAGAAATGGCCACGCTGCCCATCACTTACTGCCCACAGCAACGAGCTACCAAAGCCCTGGCACAGGCCAGCAGCTGTGAATCACCTTCCCATGACTTCCTGCACAAAGCCAGATGTTGGCCCAGCTCTTTTCCATAGGTCAGACCAGTTGGCCCATACACGATGAGCTGTTTTGGACAAAAAAAGTGTCATATGTTCCTCACCTCAGGCTGTTACCAAACCCAAGCAGTTACATCTCAGGTTACTCTGCAGCACACCAGGGCCAGCCAGGGACTACTAAAGCTCTTGAGGTACTGGTTTGGTTTTAGTGAGAGCTGCCACATCTGTGCAGGAGGCCAGAACCTAAAATATCAGCTGGAAAAGCAGCACCACATCACCACATCTCCAGCAGCAAGTGGTCAATGTTTGTATGACCGAGCATAAATTCCCCCAAGCACTCATGTTATTTGTGTTTAAAAATGGGGAGTTTCAGTTCAGTGTCTCCAACAGGCTGCCCTGCAGCTGGGGTATAAACCACCCCCAACACAGAGTCCAAATCCTGTCGGGGTGAGCACACACCATCATTGCTATTTCCTCAGGCTGGCTACTTCCTTCCAGTCTGTGGCACAAGAATGATGCTCAGCCTCATTCCTCTGACAGTGTTCAGTAGCCAGTTCCTATCAGGGAAAGTGCTTCTGACAAGCTGGCCAGGATTGATGCCACCCAGCCCATGTACTTCTTGAGCAGCACATCCAGTGTCCCCGACCTCCAGCTCAGGCTGGCCAGATGGATGTTGTTGTTAAAAGCCAGCTTTTCCTTTATGTGCTTCCCTACAAAAAGAAATCCCCTGGAAAATGTCTTTTGCACTGCTTGTCCAATAACACTTACCTTATCTCCTTCCTCAATGTCACAAATTTTTTGCAGCGTTGAAGGGTTGTAGGTGGGGAACTTCTTTCCACTTGTAGACTCGTGCCATTCATTGTTAATAAATATCTGAAGAGAGAGCAAGGGGAGTGGGATGGGCAGGAGAAAGAAAAACTGATATAGACAAAAAAAACCCACAAGTGCACCTCAAAGGTCCAGAGTCTCTTCAGCTTCCATCCATGGCAGAGTCAAGTGTGCTCAGTCTCTCTCCAAGGGACACTGCTGGCAATACAGAAGCATTTCTCCAAACTTTGTGCACCCAGTTAGTTTTGAGCCAGAGGAAGGCAGAGCACAGGTTCCACAGAGAACAGCACTGGGATTTGGCAGTGAGAAACGGGCAGTTTTTGAAATACATCTCCATGGGAACAGCAAGCAGACACCAAGAGAAATTTGTATAGTTGAGGCAGAAGGAGCCCCTTGTTACGTGTTGCTGTACAATTATTATTTGGCTGTTGGTGCCCTGCCCTGGGCTACCTCCACAGCTTGATCCCCCTCCAGCAGTGTCCACAGGAGGAGGCTCTGGCTCGGTTCTACCCCACCATGCCTCGTCACAGGCCAGATCAAGCCTCCCACGTCACTTAGAGTCATCTGTGACAAGATTTAAGTGTTTCAAAATATTGCATTTCCAGAGCAAGAACAAACAGTCCCAGCATTGCGTAACTGAAAATGCATTAAATACTGGAGTGTTGTTACTCACTGTAAACAGAACATGAATACCTATATACAATTAATTGATTCAACATGCATCTTATCCACGCTGTGATCTGACTTGGCAGTGTTATATTTTATAAATATACTTTAAATAAGATTAGATGAAGTAATCTTTATTAGTAGCCTGCTGGTGGCTGCAAGCTAGTACTTTTATTTGGAAGCCATCCACATTTGCAATCTTGTTTATGAGTCTCTACACACCACCAGGAGATTAATGTTGCATCTCTTACATTCGGAATTCCCACTGCTTTGGGTCATAGTTTTCTTTCCTTGGGCAGTTTTTCCTGAAAGGAATTTCTTATTATTACTGCATAAAGTATCCAAAGTATAATTGGTGTAGAAGCTGCACTGCTGGACCCACCTGTTTCACACAGGCTGAGAAAAAGAAAATTTCACAAAAAATGTTGCCAAGCGAAGTCAAAAGAAAAGATACAATGTTAGAAATATTAACTCCAGTTTAGGATATGAGTGCTCCCAAACTACTCTGTTATCCAAGTGCTACATTTTAACATTTACACATTTTAACCTCAGTTTTTCTTTATTTTCCTAATGAAGAAAAATTGCATTATAAATGTGGGAAATATGACAGGAACCATAAAATTAAAGTATCAGGTATATGCTCACAAACTAAGGGCTGGAGAAGAATACTGATTTTTCCTTTGCATTCAACATTCATTCTGTGGGAAAGTGATGTTCCTACCAAGCAGTAAAACACAAGAGTGACAGGATCAGGCTGTTTTAAATGTAACATATACACTACCATCATTCTGAGAATCCACCACACATCACGAGTCCTTGGTGCCAGGAGTTGAAATCAAATTGAACAGTATATCCCCAGTTCATGCTTCATAGCCAGAATTTGAGACAAGGAATTGTGGACAGATCACTTCCATCACACATCCATGACAAGCACTAAGCTGCTCTATAAGAAAGATCTTTGTTGAAAGACTTTGCCTGTCCCCCAGCCCCATAACTGGTAGAACCAAAAATAAAAATCTCCTCTAAGCAGAAGGAAGCATGCTGTCAGCTGTAAACATCTGGTGAAACTCGGAGCTTGCACAAAACCCCTCACAGTTTTATGAAAATTGACTGCTGCTCATTATTTTCTCAGATGCACTGGGAGCATCAGATCAAACATCATACTCACACTTTTAATTTATGTTGGTTTCCACTTTAAGGATTCTACCTTGACTCGTTTAGTGCTCACAGTCTCTGGCAAAACTGTGGAGCATAAACTGTGTGTTTGAAAACATACACGGCTGCAGGATAAGATCCCTAAGGAGTGTTTAAAAGTGTTCACAACAATAAAAATAACAAAAACCAGAACATTTAGATGTTTAAGAAGAACTCAAATGGCCGTGTCCATTTTGGACGCAGGAAAGAGCTGTTTGCGCAGCATTACGCCATTCTGCAATCAGCAGCTGCAGATCCAATTTACTGCTAAATGACAAGTTTATCTGACAAATAAAGAGTAGATAAATTTTGGATGTTAAAAAATTAATCTAGCCCACTGATTGCTCCTAATTGCTAGTCTGTTTCAGTACTTTGGATGCATAATTCAAATCAACACTTCGCCGGATAAGCTATCGCTGTTCACTCCTTTTTGCTACAAGGGAATAAGCTTCAAATTTTGTTTTTTCTCAATACTTAACACAAGAATGCAACAGCAACACACTCATTCAGCCCCTCCAGCTCTTTTAGTCCGGGCACAAAGTTGAAATTATAGCAGCCAAGGCTCCTCGGCAGTAACCAGCCGGGACGCTCTCCCCACCGCACAAGGCAGCGGGTCAGGCTGTTGTGGAACAAAAAGCGACTCGGCGATCGCAGAGCTACAGCTGCACTGGGAGCAGGGATTTCTGCAGCCCTGCTCTGCTCCAAGCCAGCCCCACCTCTGAGGGACAGCGATATGAAGCTTAGGAGCCTTTGGTTTATACCAAAAGGTCAGGAGCGACTGTTTGAAGGGAAACTCAATGGAGAGGTGAGGGTTTGTGTGGGCTCAGTGCCTGACTCCTCATCCCGTGGGGACGCCATGGAGTTGGGACCAAGAGCCACCAACACGAGCGCTGCTCCTCTCGTGGAGCTGCAGGATGGCTCCAGTGCCACGGCAGAGCCTTTCCCAAGGCCCAGTCCTGCCGGACACCACCCAAACCCACCACTGGCACCAAGCCACCTCCCCGCAGGGGAGCTGTGGGTCAAGGACGCTTGAACACAACCCAGAAGCGGCTCTGAGGGATAAAGCCTTCCTCGCCCTGCCCAGGCTCACCCCATCCAAATCGGATTGTGCTGAGCGCCAGCCGGGAGCTGGAGGCGTTCATGGATGGGTTGGGAGGGGAAGATGGTGTCAGGCACCACAGCAGGGAGAGGAGCCCAGGGCACCTAGGGCAGAGCAACAGCTTTGGCGGAGTTATTTGATTAAAAAGAAAAAGGTAGGTTTTGGGCATTATGGACTGGGACAAGTGCTGCTCCATTAGAAACGCCACTGTCATCTCCTTGCTCAACCTCAACCCCCCATAAACCTACTATCTCAGACAGCAGAAGGAACAAAAGAAGCTAAGAAAAAAAACCACTGAGGGTGAAAATTTTGTATTAAAAATATAACATCTCACCACCACCCTGACTCCACCAAATACATCGGCGACACCACGGCGAAGCCCACCCGCCGCCCAGCGCCCCATGCCTGGCAGGCTCACCTTGGTGTATTTCACCTCCAGGCTGCGCAGGGGCCGCGGCAGCGGGGGCACTTTCCTGTCGGGCTGCCCGTTCTCCACGGCGCCGTTGAGGGCTGCCATGGCCCCGCCGTCGAGCCCGCGCGCCTTCTGCCCGCTGACAGCGCCCGCGCCGCCTTAAGAGCGCCGCGCGAGCCGCCCGCCCGCCCCCATTGGCCGCCGCCCCCATTGGCCGCCGCCCCCATTGGCCGCCGCCCCCGCCCCGCGCGCCGGCCCCGCCCCGCGCCCCGCCCCGGCCCCTCGCGCGGCCGCAGGTGACGGGCGGCGCCGCGGGGTCCCCGCCGCGCTCCCGCCCGCTGTCCCCACAGGGCTCACAAGGGCGGCTCGCAGGATCCCAAAGGACACCCCTCAGCATCCCAAAGGGCTCTGCACGGGGTTGCAAGGGATTCTACTCAATGTCTCAAGGGATTCTCCTCAGGCTATTAACTGTTCCCCGCAGGGCTGTCCACAGAATCCCAAAGGGCTCCCACGGGGTTCCCCTCAGGGGTCCCACACAGTCCCTCAGGGCTCCCCAAAGGGCTCGGACATTGCTCGCTCGGGGCTCGCCGTGGTGTCCCCGTAGTGCTCCCCTCAGTGCTCGTGCAGGGCTCCCTCAGAGCTCCAGGCACGGATCTGACATTGCTGCCCACAGGACTCCGCAGGGCTCCCCATGGGCTCCCCGCAGCCGGGGGCAGTGAGGGAGGGGAGCAGGGTGTGCCCAGATGGGCTCTGGGGAGTAGAGCAGCCACCCTGGCCAAAGGGTGGCACTGGAGTGGGCGTGGGAGGATGTGCCCTCTGCTGCCTTGTGCCTCTGCATCTCACCCAAACCCACCCAGATGTCATTAATGGGAGGACTCTTGCAAGGGTTTCCATGGGAGTAACACCACTGTCTCCCAGCAATAAGGGCCTTTTTCTGCTATTCCTGGTGTTCTGACATCCTTACCTATGCCTCATCCTTCACTCAGTGCCTCTGGAGATCTTTCCAGGACTGATAGTAAGAGAAGAACATGACATCAAATGTGTGCTGTGCATCTGACAGCAGCTGCTCCACATTCCTGTGTGTGTGCAGGAGTCTGGGACCAGTTTGCCCATCCCAGTCTGACTATCCCAGTCAAAGGACTCCAGCCGGCTGGGGCAGGACCAGACCCTTCCACTGGAAAGTCCTACACTGATAACAGCATATTCGTGTCCCACTGGGGTGGAAATACTCAGCCAACCTCCAGCATGGTGCTCATAGTAGTGTACTTGGAGTGTCGAGAAAGATGCTGTCTTTCGAGAAGTCTTAAAGGATATGGAACATGTCTTAAGTGACAGAACTAGGCTCTGAGCCTGAACAAGTTCATTATGTATTGCTTAACTTTATTCTGCATAAAATATGTGTAAGTCTTTGCAGGCTGAGGGCCAGGACACTCAGAGCACCCTCACACCCCCACACACATGGAAGATAATATAACATATTTTCCATATAACAAGTGGCAAGATGCCAGAAGTTATCTTCCAAAATGTTCTGCAGAATCTGTAATCCCCAGCAATAGTCAGCGCTTTGCTGTTAGAATGCTTAAAAATACTCAGAGCTTCCAAAGGCAGATAGCCTGTGATATCACAGTGGCGTAGATTTAGTGCTGATTCAGGAGGGAAACTACCCCCACTGCCTGCAGCTTGCAGGATTGCAGAATGTTTTTGGAAGTCCTCTGCCCAGGTGAAAACCTATCTGATGGTGATTGGTGCAGAAATGCTTATTTCTAAGCTGTCCATTTTTAACTGTCCAGTTGCTATTTCCCATAAAAGCTACAAATCAAATGTACCCCCAGCTAGAAGAAATCTCTTAGCCATATCCCAGCGTATTCCTAGTCCCAGTGGAGTTTATCCATTTCTGTCTGTACCTTGCCCACAGAAGCACTCAGTGGAAGTGGAAATTCCTTTTGCAATTAGAGGACAAAATATCAGGATGAGGAGAATGATGAATAAGAAGTTCCAGAACAAGTGGTGTCTAAAGAGTCATTCCAGTGGGTTGTCTCATGTGGAATGACCTTGTCTCTTATCTCTGATGAGGAAGATTTTATACAAGACACTCCTGGGAA